AAAAGCAATGTGGATCTTATTCCAAGATACATCATGTACAGGTACAAGCACCCAATGATAAATGTAAATGTATTGTATACCTAAAATGCACCAATAAAAGAATTTAAGCAAAAAAAAAAAAGCAATGTGGAAACCTATGAAATACTTTGAATAGTAAGACATTCAAACATGGACAAAGAGGCATGAACAATGGGCCCAGTGTTCTCTTCATGATCATGCCACTTCCAACTTCTCACCTGCTGTTTGAGGACTTCTATTTCCGTTATCATCTCTGCATGGTTGCACTTGACTTTAGATTTCCCAGCACAGTCCTCAAAAAATGAAGAACTCTCAATTTTCAAGACATCCTGAAGGGCCTATGTTATAAAATGAACACACTATTAATCTGAGAGGTGCCACGCCCTATGAATTCCTCTGTAACTGCTACAGTTGTCTCAAGTACACCCACAAGGTAGCATTTCATTTCCAATGCTGCTTATGTAACCGGGTAGCTTTCTTCTCTCTGAATTTCTTCATATGTATATTTTCAGAATTTCTGTCTTTTCTCCATGATGATGCTTATGTTACTCATCCTTCATTATTATATGGGAGGCTTTAATGTTGGACTCCCCTCCACCTGGCTAACTAAAGAAAAAAAAAGTATGTATAACCCCTTTGCAGTTTCTCTGCTTCAGTGAAATACATATTCTGTCAATGATGCTCAAACTATGAGGAGGATCAAAAGGATCAAGTATTCCCATCCCTGAGCATTGAACCCAGAGATACTGAATCAGCACACCTGAGAACAGGGCCCAGGAATATGCATTTTGCAAAAGCTATTGTTGTTGGTCCTAAGTAATGTTTTGAGTAATATTCTGTTATGTAACCATACCATGCCCCCACCGTGAGAGAGGGAAATTCATAGATACCTGAATTCATGCAGATTCACTCACTCCCTCTCTCTCTCTCTCTCCCTCCCCCCCCCTCTTTCTCTCTCGCCATTCACTTGCTGTCCTCCTTCAGGATAGCATGCCCTGGCCTAGCCACAGTTGTCTTTACTCCCTGTTAAAAAATCTAGGAACTCATTACAGGGCAGGATGACATGCACTAAAACCTGGAGTTTTTACTGTGGGGTGAAAAAAACCAAAGAAATTCAGAGAGAAATATATTTGTCAACAAGATTATCATCCTTACTCATTAACCCTTTATGTTCTTATATAACCTATTCTTAGATCTTATGAAAGACACTGCTTCCATTTTGAGACCTTTGCATCTAGGAATGATGGGCCATGCCTATAATCCCAGCACTCTGGGAGGCTAAGGCAGGAGGATCACAAGTACAAGCCCAGCCTGGGCAACTTAGCAACTTAGTAAGATTCTGTCCAAAAAAAAAAAAAACAGGCTGCAAATGTAGCTCAGAGCAAAGGCTCTAGGATCAATCCCAAGTACTAAAAAAATGGAAAATTTTAGTTCATTATGACTTCAATAAAAATTACATTTACATATTGTGACACAATATTTCTCATCCTCCTGTGGCTTTAGAGACACAATATGATGACTTGCTTATTAAGTAAATGAGTCCTTCATACAAGTAGAAAAGGTTCATTTTCAGTCCTAAGAAGAATTTACTTCCTCTGTGACTATTTCCTTGTAAGTACTTCAGTGGTGTCCATTTGATGACATCAGTAATAGTTCATTCCTTTGCATTACTATACAATATGGTCATAAAAGCCAGAGAGGAAAAGCATATCTGTGGTTGTGAGTATGTGTTGTCAGACTGGGAGTTTCCTAATATAATATCTTACAATCTACAGATACTGTCTGGCCTGACAGAAGTATCATTTTCAGGAAGTTGTGTGAGAAACAAGAATTTTCTTCTTCCTCCAGTAAGAATTTAGAGGAAGAACAAAAATATTTTAATAATTTATGTCTTGTCAGATTTGTGTGTGTGTGTGCACACGCATGCACACGCACGTGTCCTAGGAGTCAAACCCAGGACCTCATGTATATGAAGCAAGAATTCTACTTGAGGAACACCACCAACCTTGATGGAATTTGTGTAAAGATACGTAGTTCTAGGAAATATCAGAATAGTGAATTTTAAATAAAAAGTGTATGAATAGTAGTAGAGAGAATCTAGGGTGGGGTGAGCCAGAGCGATGCTGCCAATCTATATGTCATCCCATGTCCTACACCCATGGCTAGACTTTTTCTGTAGATCTTGTTATTTGAATGTTCTGGTCTACCTTTCATATGATTCAGCATTTCAGAAATTTTCATATTAGTCATATATGAAATGTGAGTCTAGTAGACATGTACTCCATCTTGGGGTTTTCAGATTTCCTCGAGCAAACCCCTATAACTCTAGAATAAGCTATTTACCATCAATACTGACATACTGAACACATCCATTCATCTCACAATGGTGGGATTTAGACAAATTAATTTTGCCCATGGATGGCCCTGGCTGTACAGCCTCAGAGAATTTTCACTTTGGTTAAACATCTGGCTTCTCTGTAGGAACTTGATAAAGACAGAACCCTTGGGTAATGTCTTCAAAGCAAATATTGAATTGAGTACACATCATTTTGTAAACTTCTAAAAAACATATGTTAATTACTAAGCTGATATAAATTTCTGCCCAGTGAAGGGGTCAGCAGGCAGCCAACTTGCACAAGTAGGGAATGCACAAGGTTTCATGCTGTGAGGCGTGGTGTGCACAATCAGCCACCTATATCAAAATTTTCAGTAACTTCTATTTATCATCATCATAAGAAAGAAAACTGTCATAAAATAGAAGAATAATAACTTTTTACACTTCATTAGGTCCAAACACAATATGCTTAATTAGAAAGAAAAATCTCTTTACACAATCATAACTTAACATTTATGTTTTTAAGTGACAGTTTAAGGTGTAGATGAGTGGGATGAATCTTTCTGGCTTTCAGCACCCTTTTATTTTTTTCTCATTACTTAAAAGTAGAGTATTATGTATTATCTTAATGTATGATGGTCAAAAAATGAATCTCAGGTACAAAATCGGCTATGGAACATATTGCGTACTAGCTATTTAAACTCATGAATTTATCCTTTTAGCCCACTCAACAAATATTTAAGAACATACTGTGAGAAAGCCCTTGTTCTCAGAACAAGGGTACAACAGTGAATGACACAGAAAAAACTCAGGGCCATATCATGCGTGTTACCATTGTGAGTCTCATCCTCCACAAAAACACATATTATATTTTGAAATTACATAGTTATAAAAATGAATATATAATTTATGAAAACCTGTTTTCAAGTTAAAAGTTTACCTTTTCTTCTGATTTTAAGAGAACCAAGAAATATTCATGGCTTCCTAAATATACTGTAGGCCTTGAACACTGTGCCTAGGGCACTAGTAGAAATTTCTAGCATGCAAAGTTCCTACTCTCAGGGAGCTTACAATCAAAGTAAGAGGCAGAAAACAGACAGGATAATACATATGAGACATGCACATATATTAGGTAGTAATAGGTTCCAAGGAAAAATTAATTTAGGATATAGGAGGAGTAGAGCAGGTAATTTTAATTAGGAGATCCAGAAAAGACCTCTTTGAGAAGGTGATATTTGTACAAAGGCATAAATTTTACTCCACTTAATTTTTCTTGAGATCTTATGATTAAAATCACCAGAATTATAAAATTACTATTATTCTAATTTTTGAAAATTCTATTAACTGTATATACAGATGCAACAGAAGTGATGCATGATGAGCAATAAAACAATTTTTGCCTGTTCTAGATAGTCATTATATCCTGGTGCCTCCATTTAGAGAAATGAGGTAGAGAATGTTGGAAAACTTAATATGGTATCAAAATTGGAGGGCTTTCAAATATAATTCCAATTATCCTTAGTTTTCCTAACTTATCTGTGGAAGACATTCCAAGAATATCAGGAAAAAATATATTTTCCCTGGGATTTTATGTCTGAACATTTTCTTTCACTCTGAGAGGGTAAAATACATTGTTTATGCAGCCTCCTTTTTTCCGTCTTCTCTTGAATGACTTGTGCCACAGGCAGACCTAATATAGCAACACATTTGTAAATCATCTATCTTGTCAACAAACAAGCACATACTTGACACTTTGGAGATTCTTAAATGACGCTTCTGAGCACAAATTGACTACAACCACTCAATCCAAAAATCTAAGGATTGAACACATTTTAAAGATCAATCACCTACTTCTGCTGTAAGAGATAATTTTTGTTACTTTGACCATGAAATCTCTAGTTAGAGATGCGTTTCTCCATCAAACCACCTGCTACAACATTCCCATGTTCCACACATGGCTTGGCTTTTAGAAAAAAAAATAAACAAAAAAGAACTTGTATTTCTTCCTAGAAAATTAGTCTCTAAAACATCCCTACACACACACATACACACACACACACACACACACACAAGTGTCATCTTTTTGCAGCAATTCATAGTTCCTTTTTTGCAAAGCTAAGTTGGAGCCAAGGTATTAAACCATTCCATGTCCTGAAAGCCCTGACTTTTCTTCCCCTGACCCCCATCAAAGGAGTGTTTTAGGGTTGCTGTGGGGAGAGCTTCATTGCAGCCTTGAGTTTGGCATTAAGTGTGCTCCCATGTATTGGGCATCACATCTGCTCCACAGTGACTATTTTAAAGAAAAGTTTGTTTCCTCAATTGCAACTGACCAAAAGTTATGTTATTGTGCAGACACCCACTTGCTTTATGTGGTTCTTCAAACTACAAAAAAAGAAATGTCCTTACTCTCTTCCATAATTTCTCCTCCTTTCTGTTTTTCATGAGGAACCTTTTCAGGAACATGAATTCCCTGAAGCTTCCTTGACCAAGTATGGCTGGAAGCTGCAATCCTGACTGGTAAAAGTTAGACCATCCTGTGCTTGAAGTTACATTCTGTGCAAACTGTGAGGCTGGGAGCCACATGCAGCTTGATTTTGTCACGACTCTCAGGGGAAATGTTCTGGTCTACAGGAAGCTTTTGCTCTGATTTCCCATGCTTGACCGAGCCCCGTACCTTATTGAGTCGTTTTATTTCACATTCATAATGTTCCCTCTTCTTATTTGCAAGAGCATTTTTTTCCTTCAAAATCTTATTCTCTTTCTTCAATTCCTGTATTTCTTCATTTAAGTTTTCCTTTTCCTTCTGAAGTGAAGAACAAGATGAAAATCAATAAAAGCCAAAGGAGATGATACTAATAATCCTTATACATCAGCTGCTGGGGCCCATGGAGGGGTCATACTGCTGAAATACAGGACAAATGGGCCCTGCCAGATTTTCTCTTAACATTCATTTGAGCAATATTCTTTGAGGGGAGGACAGAGTTAGGATTGAAGATATCTTTCTTGCATAAAACCTTAGTGCTACCTCCTAGAATTTTGGGGATCCCAAAAAAGATATCAAAACCTCCAATCCTTGCTTTCAATGGTCAAATAAATGGATCTGCTGAATAATCCAGTACTGTTGCTGAATGATGAACACGTAGCTCAGCAAAATAAGTTGAAAATCCTAAAGTGAAAAAATTTGTTGTTGCAACAAAATAATACTAAATATTTCAAAACCCATTCCTGTATATTTCTGTACTGGTCCAAGGGAATACATTTTAGACAGATAAGACCCTTCTCTAAAGATAATTACTCAGAGCACAGGATTACTGTGATTATTATTTTTAAAGATGAAGATCATAGGGTGGGGATTTAGCTCAGTGGTTCTGCCCCCTGCCTCGCAAGCTCAAGGTCCCAAGTTTGATCCCCGGTACCAAAAAAAAAAGTCTAATGTTTTAAATAATTGAGGGTTAGTTTCTGGATACTAACAGGCTCTGGACTCAGGCTTTTATATGTTACTTATCTCTTAATTTTATGTAGTAGACAGTTAACTTTTTTGTGGAGTAAATTGGATTCTTAATGAGAATATGGCCTAGTAAAATAAATATTGCAGAATATAGGTAACTCAAGATGAGAAAATAGCTAGTATATGTATTAAAGTACATTATTTTATTCATTAGTATTTCCCAAGGTAATCTACTTTAGACAATCATTTTCTTTAAACATGGAAATTTCCTTATTTGCACTTATTTAAATGAAATGGGTTTATACACTTGGAAAATGAACCAATCATTCTCTTATTTAGCATAATTCAAGAGAAAATTACTTCAACAGGAAAATGATTCCAATTGCTGGAGGGAAAAATTACTAAGATTCCTCATCAGGATGTAATTGGAACAGGAAGTGACTAACACAGAGCAGAAAGGGAACCTGCTGATCCCTCTTTTCCTGACTCATTATGACAAAGTCCTCCTCAGCCAGGTAGGCAAACCTGGACTGGCATTGTCTGCTCATGTTAGATGTAGCCTTAAGCCTCTTAAACATTGTGTATGTTTTAAAACATTGCCAATGCCCCACAATAGTGGTGATAAAACTTCACCAGAGAATGTTCTGAAAAGAACTTACTGTTCTTTTCTATTGTGCCTAAAAGAAAGACACCTTTAGAGTTTGCTGTTTCCTTCTCATTTTCTATGATAGCCATGAAGTCCAATCACTGAAAGTAAAATCAGGAAAAAAACAGAATCCATTTTAGGAGAAACTTGTCATCTCGACTGTCTCTGCCTAATTCTTAGTAGGGATTGAGAAAGCCTTAGAATCTGAAGATGAGACTCAAGGTCCATCTTCATGGTACTGCTTTATCAATGTTGCCAAGCCTTGTAGCCTTCTTTATACCTCACCTTTCTCATTTACCCCTGCTTAGAACTAGGGATTGAACTCAGGGAGTTCTTATTTTATTCAATATTGAGACTGGGTCTCATTAAATTGTCCATGCTGGCCTTGGATTTGTGATCCTCCTCCCTCAGCCTCTGAGGAGCTGGGATTACAGGTGAGTGCTGTTTAGCATGGCGGCTTTCTCATCTTCATCTGGCAAACATATCTACCTCCAATGTGGGCTGACAATGTTAAAGGAGATAAAGATGGTGACATGATTTTTAAAATGTTTTATTTTTATGAGTACAAAAATAATACCGCCCAGGCACAGCAGTGCGTACCTGTAATTCCAGTTAGAGGATCACAAGCTTGAGGTTAGCCTGAGCAATTTAGGCAGACTTTGTCTCAAAAGAAAAAGAAAAATGACTGGGGATGCAGCTCAGAGGTAAAGTGTGAAAGAGTTTGATCAGCAGTACAAGAAAAAAAGAAACAAACATTTGTAAAATTCTGTAAACTGGAAAGCCATTATACAATGTATTGCACTCCTATTATAGCCACTAGTAATCAAAACAACACAGGTGAAAAGAGAAAAAATTTTTCTCCGAGACTGAAATGCCTTAGAAAGATATTCCCTAATCCATGGACTACTTCCCTCTCCTGGTAGACATGGCAAACATGGCTATTGTACAATACAGGAAGACAGCAGTCCAGTCGGTCATCTCCCTCCTCATTCCTGAGAAGTGGTCCTATTGATGGTGCTTGAAGACTTGCATAACCCACACCCTCACACATTGGTTGCTGCTCACCAGTGAGCTGAGGTTAACAAACGGTCGGTTTTCGGCAGGAAACCGCCCCCAATTTTCACTCAGGTCCTTTTTGTGGAGGCCCCGCCCACCTCTAGCTGTGGCTCCCTGGTCTGGTCACGTGGCCTGGTGTCCACCTTCTGACTCTGCGGCTGCTCCTGCTGCTGTCGCTCCTTCTCCAGGGTGCCCCAGACCCTTTCTGCAGCGACCAGTTTCATTTTCAGCTCTGCGACCTGAGGGAGTCGGTCATAGACAGTGGCAGACACCTGTTCTGAGGCCCACATCCCCCCAGGGATTTACCCCAGGTTACAAACTTGTCCCTCTCCAAAGAAGTTCTATGTTCCAACGCCCACACCACAGACAAGGAGACTTGGATTTTAAAAAGAAGTTTGGTCAATCGCGAAAAGCAGCACCTTACATGGAAATAGCCTCTGGATCTGTCCCCCACCACCCTTAGGAGGGAATGAAGACCTAGGTCCCAGACTGGTGGTCTCTTCTGTGTCACCTACTCTGAGCTCTCAGGAGGGACCTTGGCTGATCAGGAGAAGGCAGTGGGGGATCAGGGCCTAGGGAGTACAGCCTGCACCTGGAAAAGCAGGCCCAGCCTGTAACCTCTCAGTAACCCGCAGCACTTGGCCTCCTACGAGATGCCAAATTAGACTTCAGGTCCAGTGGAAGAAGCTCTTCTAAACATCTGTTTTCAAAACCCTGCCTGCAAGCAGTTCAGGAAAGCAGCTTGAGCATTCTTTGAATATCTGTCTTTAAAATGTGCATACATACAGCAGGGTACCCTGACATTGCCTAGAGCAGTGGGAATGTTATTTTGGACTTTCTAAATTTAATACTTCTGAGTATCAAAATGGGGAACAATGCCCTTGGATTACTCGCTTGTGGTTAAGTTTCTTAATTCTGAATCTAGGAGAATTTACTTTTTCTTTTTGAAAATAAAATACTTTTAAATTATAAACTGACCTTTACCTATTAAAGGAGATTTTCTCCATAAATTTCTTTCTACCAAAGTAAAGACTTCTTCCAGTGCCTTTATTTGGGGAGAGGGGTTTCTCCCTCACTTTCACTGTGAGCACTGTTTGTTTCTTTGTGGAAAAGAGCTGATGTGATATAATTAAAGAATTACAGGCTTGGCCTTTCATAACACAACATGGACTTCAAACTGTCCTGAACCTCAGCTATAACCCATGTATTTATGGCTGCTAGTAACAAAGAGTAGGCCAGGACACTACATAAGGTAGGATAAATGTGGATAGGAACTCTTGAGACATCTCTAGAGGCTATTTTTAGCACATTTCCTTACTGATGCTCAAGACAATTCAGAGACACTACCCATTAATCTTCAGCACCAAGAGGCCAGTAACGCACTCATCACCTCCCCATGACCCCTCATTTTTCAACAGTTGGGTATCCACAAGTCTCTTTCAGCTGAAATCAATGAAAGCCTTCACATACTTGGTCCCACCAGGAGTGCCAAAACCCCAAATAGAAGTTTTTACCTTTCTTTCATACAACTCTTTCATATTTTTAAATTGCTGATCCCATTGCTGATTAACTTCCAGGAGCTGAAATTAGTAAAATTTGATGAATTAATAAAAGATTTCTGCCAATTTGGAAATTTGGGCAACCCGCAATTACTTTTTGAGGTTGCTGAAATTTTGGACCATAAGAGGACACAGTATTCCTTCCAATAAGTTCTAGTTGGGCTTGGATGATTTAACCAGACACTTTCTCACCTTTTCATAACTTTTTAACATATGAAAAACTGTTAAGAATTAGGTATACCTTGACAAGTCAGCTGAACAGTTGATCAGCCACTTTAACTTCTCTTAATTATTCAAATTTCCGTCTTCTTTGCTTAATGTAACTAGAACTTATAAAAATTGTAAATATGGGTAGTTTTTGTAAGATTTATTAATGAATTGTTACTGATTTATGAAAAGGTCTTTTCTCAAACCTTTATATATTTTTCTATGTGCTTAAACTGACTTACAATGAAATGTATAGCTTTAAAAGAAATTCATATTAAAGTCTATTAACTGATAATCATTTGCTTGCAATAATGTCCTTCAAAGATTAACACATTATCTATGATACATACTCAATGAATGGCTATGACAGTTTTGAAAGTATAGATTTTCAAGGAATAATAGTTTTACCACAAGACAATATTTAGTGCAAACACTTTAAAAGGTTTTAAAACTATCTTCTAATTAGGTGAAACAATACTATGACCTGTTTTCATTTTTTGTAGGAGAACTTTTTAGTTTTCTATGTTAAGAGAAATTATGGCACTTAGCAATATGGGACAGACACCAAGAATATCGTCAGAGTGATCAAAAAATTACAAAACAAAACACCTAATCCAGAATAGCAGTTGCATATTAGGTAATTCTTATGGTGGAAATAGATGTGGTATTTAGAATACAGCTACATAATATCATTGTATAAAGATACCTTATCTGTTGGCATTTTGAGGATTTAACTTTCTTTTGCTATACTAACATTACTCTGCTACTGTTTGGTAATTTCCCAGAAGGGCACTATCTTCTATGCAGTATCAAAGAGGAGTAGAAAGTGTCATAGAAAAGAACACAAAGGATACAGTACATAGAATGGGTGAGAAAAGGAATTACAAAATTGATACCATATGGAATGCTAAAACTGTTACACTTTTCACTTTCTCCTTTGTCTAGAAAAGAGATTCTGATATTCATTAAACACAGAAAATAAAAACAGCATAATTAACAATATCTGTTAGTTCTCAATAACATTTTAGAATTAAACATATTTTTAGGACAGTGCTCCTTATTCCCTGTGTATTAAGATGCCAAATTCATGAAGTCATACTATCTAAATCAGTCCTACTGAATGTCTTTAACAGTTTGAGTTTCAAGATATGTCAATTTGCAGTGTTTCTTGAAGGACAGAGTTAATAAACTCAAATGGTCCATGTGGGAAGCATCGAACTTTTGAGAAAGATGGGATTATAATTATCAGATTTATGACTTTTTAAATTCAGCATTGCACAAATACTGATTAAAAAACATTTCCTTTCAAGATAACACATCCCAGTATCCTAGAGATAAATATTATTACTTAATAACAAAAATAAAAGATACCGAAGGATGTTTTATTCTTAGCATTAATCATATGTGGATAATTATTATTTCTAAATTACCTCTTTTCTCTGTTTTTCCAAGCATCTTATCTTGTGTTCAAGAGTACTTGTCAAATTCTTTCTTCTTGATGACTGAGCACACTTAAAAAAAAAAGATTGAGATAAAATAATCCACAAAATAAACAAGAGAAATACTGTCCTTCATAAGCCCCATACATTTAGTCAACTCTTATAATGTGTCAAAAAGTATCTGATTCTGGGGCTGGAGATGTGGAGCTTACTGGTAGAATATGTGCCTATCCTTCAAAAGACTCTAGATTTCATCCCCAGTAAAACACACACACACACAATCCGATTCTACTAGTAACAATCCTCACTCAATAAGTCCTTCATAGCGACTTTTTAATGTATCAGCTTCATATTATATTTACGATTCCTTTATAGAATTTAGTTACCAAAATAACTCTCCAATAAATTATAAATGTATCTGTGTGATGAACAAGCCAGAAATTATAATTTCATGAATTTTAATCTCAATCTTTTTTTGACAAAAGACAAGAAAATAATGGCATATAGAAATCAGGTAAGTTTCTGAGGACATCTCAAATGCGGCAAATTGATTATACAACTGCACAACTGTTACTAAGGTTGTCAATAGAAACATCAATGATCATGACATAAATATACAAATGGGCATAGGTTATCTGGTACTATGTAATTATAACAAGTTTAGACACATAATAAATTATTGGCATAATGAAAAGGTTAATCATTTTTCTTTTCAATTACATTTTTTTCAGGGATGGGAGTATTTATTTAAAGAAAGCACAAAAGCTCTGGAAACTAACTACCACCTGGCTAAATCTACCGGCAACACTCACTCCATTTCCTCTATTGTAACACAATAGTTTTACAATCTCATTTCTGAGTCATACAAATAATACAGTGAACTGAGTGATGGGGCAGGCCCTAAATTTGTATTTAGTTTCAGGCTTCACAGTTACTGTGGACCATGCAATTGCTTAAAGGCATTTGTGAACCAGAAATATTTTCATGTATGGTGGTCTTTGCCAGAAATGTTTTGAGGGAACAGCTCTTTTACAATCGTTGTGTGATTTCAAGGATTTTTTTATTAGAAATAATTTATAAAATTGTACTTTTCTTTCTCTACTTATTCATGTCTCAAGTATTTTAGAGTGTGATCTTTTACACCTATATAGATATTGCTCTTAGTTTTCCTATTTGAGATCTGAATTTCAGGAAAGGGAGCCAAGACGTCTCTATTTTAAACAAATGTTCTAGATAATCACAATTTCTACTGAAGTTCGGTATCCTCCTAGCCTAGATCATGCTTAGAAATGTGAGGTTTGGGTCCTCAAAAAGCCCTTAATTCTATCTGGATTGTAGACAAAAATATATGGCAGCAAACATCTGTATGCACTTGGCTTCTGGAAATCCAGATGCAGAGCAATAAGTCAGTTTTTGTTGTTGTTGTTGTTGTTGTTGCTGCTGCTGTTGTTTGCCCCCACAAATAATTTTTCCTGAAAAAAATGTAAAATGCTTTGACACATAATTTTCACTGAAAAATGAGAATTCTTGAAAAGCTAGATACTGAATCTTCAACAGAATTTATTTGTAATTGTAGGAGTACTAATTTCTGAAACTTGGGAGTAATACATGGAGGACACGGAGAGGGAGAAAAGGACAGAAAACATGATGAATATGAATAGTTCATAAGCTACAGACCTATCACCTAGTGTTTCTCTGGAAATTAATTAGCATTTTAACAATGGTTTATGTTCCTCAGGTGTGTATTAAAATATAGCAAAGTCAATGAAATAAAAACATTTTGGGGGAACTTTGCTTTGCTTTTTGTCGCTAAAAAATGCATCCAATATTGTAATTAATACAAAGATTTTTAGGCATTGAGTTCCAGTAAGGGCCTGTGTACAGAACATTTACTCCTTACAAGTAATTCTCTATAATTATATTCTATAAAATATAATCTATATTCAATGCAGGTGAGCATCTGGGCATTTCTTTCTCTACTCTAACATCCAGGTCAACCTCTCACATATTCAAGTTCTGACAGAATAAAATTAAATATCTAAATTTTAAATGAACAAAGAGTTCCACTTAGTTTCTCATTTTACTTTGGTTATCTCTTTTTTAAAAAATAAACACTTTAATTACTTGGTAAATAAACAGTAACTAATTGGTTACTAATTACTTAATTCATATAGTATTCTTTCAGTAACTGAACAAAAGCTACAGTATCAACTGAAATATATATTTTACTATAAAATGATTACTAAATGTTTTATTTACAACCACACAATATAGTATTCTTTTTAGTTTTTTATATTGTACCACATTCTTCTAAATTAAGAGCAAAATATGGAACACACTGAACTGGCAAGCTGAAAGGAGTTTGAACAGATTTAATCCTATCAATTTGTAGAAGAAAGATAATCCAGTGGGTTTGAAGGCAATGCAATAGTCACTCAGATACTATTTTTTTATGCCTAATAACATTGCCTGTAAATATAGAGCAGAACTTAGTTAACAAATTAGCCATTCTACTCTTATTAATCACTGCACAATTAGAAATTTTATCAGTGCTAGACATGGCCAATTCAACCCCAGAATGTGTTTCTTACCTCTATATGCTCGGTAGAACTTTGTGCAATATTCACTCCAGCTGTCCCTTCTGCCAAATGTGCCATGGAAGCTTTTTCTCTGAAAGTCTTGGAAAGCAAAAAGAAAAAGAGGTTGGGGGGTGGGGATCTCTTATGGTATCTTTTAGAGTGAGACCAATCATACACAATTTGAAAACCGTAATCCACCATTAACTCATATTAGAAAATAAAAATGGTAATTTTTCATTGAAAATGAGCAGAGGTGACTCTATGTGAATTACACAGAATAAACTTATAGCGCAGAAACCGTGATTTTAACTTTTCTTTTCCAAGCAGGGATTTCCCAGGATGTCTCAAGTAGGCAGGCTGTGACTAAGACCTGGGGCAGATTAGCCTTGCTATGATATGTAAATTGTCATTCTTCCTTTACTGGCATTTCTCCCCCTGGAGGAGGAAGTTACTACCACAGAAAGCCTGGGCAAACCAAGTCTTCCTCAGTAGCCTGTTACAAAGGCATTATATTTCTCACAGCAATTTGGTAACTGTTGCTTTTTTGACAACTTGAATTCTTGTTTCCCTATAGGTGTAATTTTCTGGCAATGTGTTCTAAATATGAGTTTAGCTGTGTAAAACTTAATGAGTCATACATATTTCTACGAATGCTACTAATTCCTATGGAATTAAAGGCAAAATGATTCATTACTGGGCCAGGGATTTAGCTCAGTGGTTCCGCCGCTTGCCCCACAAATGGAAGGACTCGAGTTCAATCCCGGGTACCAAAAAAAAAAAAAAAAAAGATTCATTACTCTCCAAAACGGGAATTTGAAAATCTAATCCTCTGTAGACTAAAAGTTAAACTTAATTCTCAAATGTAGGACTGTCTATTTCATAGGTCTTTCAGATTTTCACCAAGTCATTTGAAATTAAAGCTTTATTCCCTCTAACATTTTACCTTTAATAGTAGACTCTTGTTATTTTAAGGCTTTCAGGTAATGCAGCACTAGATAAGTCAACCAAATAAAAGCTTGGAAATGACAACTAACTTGAAGCTACACAAATGGACCACCATTTTTGAACTTAGAGGAGTGGGAGCAAAAGAAAAGGCAAGGAATATAAAAATAGAAAATAATGTGTTGCTGAAAGGAAAAAAGAAATTGTGATTAATCACTTAACTTAGACTTGCCTATGACATATCTGTCTACACATAGAATAAAGCCTAAAACTCCTGAAATGCAAACTCATTTAAAGGAAATGAACGAGTGTGCAAGACTTGGTCCTCCCTCTTTTCTTTAATGTTTCTCACCATCTCCTTCTTTGTGCTCCTGCCATACTGAATTCCTCCAGGCCTTTAGTGAATCCTCCTGGCTTCCCTCCTGTACTTTTGAAAGCACCATATTCTTAGGCCTTCCTTCTAAGCCAGGGACCAGCAAAACCTAGCTAGTTCCTCTCCTGTACTATGTCACCAAGCATCACAATTGTTCAGGAGTGTGCTCCTGTGTTCATCTCTGTTTCCACACTATCCTGGCACAGAACTGGTGTTCAGCACCTTTTGCTGAATGAATAAGTTGATAAATATTTTATCTAACTACTGCACAACAAATTCATGGACTTTTTTCGAGTTTGTATGTATTTATTTCCTGCTATTTTCCCGGTCTGCTTTGAAGATATGTGTGAGAGAAAGGAAGAGATGTTGCCTTAAGGCAATACCCAAAAAAGACAGATGGGAATCCAATCATTCATTCAGAGTTCTAAAAGTAAAAGTTATGACTCAGATGTGCTCTGATGTTAGAGGATAGAAGCAGAGATTTCCTGGAGAAATTTTTCAGATAATTTGTCAACTAAAATCTGCTATTAGAAAAAAAAAAGAAATAAAATTTATGTAAAACTTTTCCTCCAACACCCCCCCCACTCACAGAGTAGATATAAAGTTATATAGTTCAAAGTTCTTATAAATCCAGTGGATGTGATAACATTGACCTGGAAAAGTGGATTAAAAGAATGTTTTCTTGCCAAGGAAATATTATCCCTATCCATTGTCTCCCAGGCTTCTGTCAAGGTCCCCTGATGCATATTAATTGCTAGGTGTGATGGCTTCTATTAAGTGGAAATCCTTTCATTCCCCATCACAATTCCCTCCCTTGCCTCTTCTGCTACGTAGATTAACAATAAACAGATTTCTTATAAGCTCAAGAAAGCCATGTGATTATTTACAAGTAAACAATAACTCTTCTGGAGAACCCAAGATTGGTTTGAAAGAAATGGGACTCAATAGGCCAGCCCGAGGACTGCATTGGATGTTTTCTGTTACCCATGTCTTATTTGCCTCGCCTCCGCCCTCTCACAGGTGTTATATATTTCCAGTGTCTGGCTTTTAGTCAGACAGAGAAATTGGTTCAGAAGAAATCTCATAAAAACTTAACAACTTTCAGAGAAGCAGAGGTGTCCCTCCATGTTTCCAAGGCTGTTTTGAAGATTTCTGATTAGCAAATATTATGCAGAAGAAAAACATAACAAAACAAATATGATACAGGAAAAGAACAAGGAACTACCAGTCATTGATCTGTAACTGTCATCTGAGTTGGCAGGAATTCTATGAAAATTAGTCTACAAGGAGAGCAGCAGTGTGGGTCTATCATGCATATAGGTATTCTTTGGCAGGTAAAAGAAATAAGGATGTTTTAAAACATCTTTTTAGGGTGAAGTTTGGAAAATTCTTTTCTTCCCAAATCTATGTCAATGAATTTTTAAATAAATGTACTATCTAGGTTAAAGTCAGAGGATCAAGCTATGACAAAAAGATCTTGCCTTAGAGTTAGACAACCTGTATTCATGTCTCAGCTCTTCTACTCAGGACTTGTGACTTTGGCCAAGATGACTGGGCAGTCTAAGGCTCAACTTACACATTTATACAATGGGATAGTGGTAGTATCTTCCTTTTAGGGTGGGTTGTGTCTGCTATAATACTTTAAATATTAATAAATTTTGAACTTTAAATAGGATCACTAATCAAATTGCATGACAAAAGAAAAATCTATTCATAATTTAAACATCAGCCATGCACATGGCATCAAGTGAATTCAAGGAAAATACAGAACAATTCCTGCTTACAATGAAATTTATACACACAATTCCCTGTTTTTAGACAGGCCAAACCAATATAGTCAAAATGGTCATATTTCCAAAATTGATATACAGATTTAATGTAATCTGAATCAAAATAAAAGTAGTATTCCTCACAGAACTGGAGAAAACAATCCTAAAATTCATATGGAACCAGAAGAGACCCAGAATAGCAGAAGCAATCCTGGGTAACAAGAACAAAGCAGGACATATCACAGTCCTGGACTTGAAGTTATATTACAAAGCTACTATGATAAAAACTGTATGATGCTAACACAAAAACAGACACAAAGATCAATGGAACAGAGTAGAGGATGCAGAAAGAACTGCAAGTGCGTTCAACTCTTTTATCTTTGACAAAAAGGCCAGAAACATACACAGGAGGAAAGATAGTCTCTTGGGGTCTGGGGATTTAGTTTAGTGGTTCTGTCGCCTGCCTCACAAGCACAAGGTCCTGAGTTTGACCCCCAGTACCAAAATAAATAAATAAATAAATAAATAAATAAAGTTGGAAAAAATGGCTATCCACTTGCAAAATATTGAGTCTAGAGCCGTATCTTTCTCCATGTACTAAACTAAAATCAAAATGGATCAAATAACTAAATGTTAAAACAAAAACACTTAATCTTATGGAAGATAAAGTAGGTAAAACTCTTGAAGATGTAGGCATAGGCAAGGACTTTCTAAACAAAACCCTGGTTGCACAGGAAATAATACTGAGAATCAACAAATGGAATCATATCAAATTAAAATGTTACACATAGCAACAAAAACAAAACAAAATAAAACAATAACCAATGGAGTGAAAAGAAAGCCTACAGAATGGAAATTTTTTTGCCAGCTATTACTCAGACAGAGGACTAAAATGTAGACTATATAAAGAACTCAAAAATATTAGAAACCCCAAAATAAAAAACCCAATTAAAAACTGAGCAAGTGAAGTAAATGGGATTTTGATAGATGAAGTACAAATGGCCAAAAAATTCTGAAGAAATGCTGGACATCCCTGACCATTAGAGAAATACAAATTAAATCAACACTGAGATTCTGTCTTACCCTAGAAAGAATGGCCATCATCAAGAAATCAAATAAAAACAAATGCTGGAGAGACTATGGAGAAAAAGGAAATCTTCTATATCATTGGTGGGAATATAAACTAATACAACCATTATGAAAACCAGTATGTAGATTCCTCACAGATCTAAAACTAGAAATTCCATTTGACCCAGGTCTTGAATTAAAGGTATCATAGTAACAGTGATACATGTATACACATGTTTATAGCAGCACAGTTCATAATAGTTAAATTGTGGAAGAGGCCTTTATGGGCATTAACAGATGAAAGGATAAAGAAAATGTAGTATTTATACATAAGGGAGTACTACTCTGCTATAAAGAAAGGTAAACTTGAGTCTTTTGTAGGAAAATGAATGCACCTTGAGACTATAATGTTAAGTGAAATAAATCAGACTCGCAAACTTAATATAGCATGAGAAATCCAAAATATAAAGAACAAAATAAAAGATAGCTAGGTGTTATTTACAGGTACCAACTTCATACTAATAATGTAAACATTATGTACTGTAAATATGAACTAAAATTTTTAAAAGAAAGAAATGCATACACACATATGTAAATTTATATATACATACATAACACACACGTTTACATGTATGTACACACCCACATGCATATGCATGCACACTCATATGTATTTATGTGTATATATGTATATATATAAAAACAAATGGGCAATAAGTGAAAAACAACAAATAAGTGATAAAGACAATAAAAAAAAGCTCATTCTAAAGCTTTAATAGTTACGGAAAGAGTTGGAATTTCTAACAGACTTTGAAGGGTAGATAGGCTTTTGATGAATGGTGACAGCTGAAATGTCATGCTATACAGGGAGTAAATTAAAAAAACAGACTAGGGATGGAAAAGCCTAAGTATGAAAGGTTCTAACAAGCCAGTTTAACTAGTGTAGG